AACGATGTACAAATGCGCTTTACACAATTGATGTGTGTATGGATTGGGATAACAGTTGTATGAGCCCCTAATAAAATGTTAAAAAAGAAAAAAAAAAAGAAGAAGGTTTGTGTGAAAATTAACTATGGGGAACCATGTGAAAACTTAGTATGGTACCCGGCAGATGGTACGTACTCAATAAATGTTAGTTATTACTATGAAAAAAATAAATAAATAAAAAATTAAAAAAAAGAACTAGAGGAGGGTTGTGGGTTTCATTGTTGTTATACTGAACCCCAAGTGACTCATATCTCTTCAACTCTTGTACACCTCCTAGTGTTTTCTTTTGCCAGATCATTTTTTTTCCTGATCTCCCACTTATTGCATAGTACCTTCCTCTTCATCCAATTAATGTGTCTAGCGATTCCCATCCTTCCCCTCCCACCCATGGCAGCCATCAAAGAAATAGCTACTTTCGTGTGAAACTCTTTTCATAATTTTCTAGAATAATAACTCACGATAATATTGGTCCTTTTGTGATAAATTTTGCTCAGCAAAATGTTCATCCATTTTACGAGGTGTTTAGCAGATCCATCCTTCTTAGATAGTAAGTAGTATTCCGTGTAAGCATCAGCCTCCACAAACCTAAATCCATAACTAAATGGTGCCTTGAGACTAAAACCCACCTTTCAGGAAAGGATCATATATTGCAAAGTCTTAGATGGAGTCGGAGAAAAATATAGAACAGAACTCAAGATCATAAAAGAGATTAGGTCGGATAGAGACAATGAGAACCCTCACTGCTATGGACCTTAGTCACCCTTCAGGTCTGGGGCTAAAGTCATCCCCATGTTAGAATAATCAGTCATTTAAGAGCCATAGAGGTGAATCTTAGGTCTTAGGAAAGGAGACTGGAGAAAGGAGGAAGTGGGGTGAGCAGTGGTACACAGAGGGGATCAGAATGGATGAATTGAAACAAAATGTGTATATATTGTTGATCTGCTCTGTAAACCCTAAATAGTCATCATCATCATCATCATAGAGATCAGCATGATTCTTATCTCCTAAGTGTCAACATGCAACTAGTTTTCCCCAAAAGTAAGCACTAATTTTCAGTGCTTACACTTGGGTTGGCATTCCCTCTCCAACCCTGATCACCGAGGGTCGATACTGAACTCACAAAATGGAAAAACATCTTTCTTCAGACCAATACCTATGCAGTGATTCTCTGAACCTGGCCACCCTGAATTCCCAAGTTAAAACGCATTCTGTCCTTCACACTGCCAAATAGGCAGATGGCATTCTTTGCAGGAATGTCTCATAGACTCTCACAGAGAGTATACTCTACTTACACCTTCAGATTTATTACAGCTAAAATGGAAATTCACATGGAAGGGGTCACCGCACAGACACTCTGTGTCTCTAGCAATGGTTGACCCCCGAGAGTAGATGCTCTTACCAGTCAAGAAGCTCACTTGAGTCGCCATGTTCAGGGCTCTTATTGGCCTCCTCCTGAGGTTACGATAGATTACATTATGCTTCCTGAAGTTAGTATCGGTGTCCTAGGTAGTCCCTCTTGGTCTGGGCAACCCCAGTCATTAGCCTTAGGGGGAGTCTGGCAAAAAAAAAAAAAAGCCAAAGCCGGATGTGCTTCGTTATTAATAAAGTAACCTGGACTAACTTTAAGGTTGGCACTGATAAGCACAAAATTAAATCTTAAATTTATACACTCTCAATAAGGTCTGCATACGTTTGAAAATTAGGTGCAGTTCGTATAATTATCTCACCACATTGGTCAATCTTCAGGTAGATTAATATATATTACTTCAAAAAGAAGTTCCCTTTGCCTTTAAGGAAAGAAAAAATTCATTTACAAGCAGACCAAGTAAATCATAAAAGAATATTGATATTCTGTTTATCTCTTTCATTTTTAAAAGTTGGCATCTATTTAATAAAGCAAATTTGTGTTGAAAAAGTGATCTCAATTCATGGAATGCGCATGAACTCTTGATTGCAGTGGAGCCCTCTCACTCTGATGGAATTATTTTCATTTGGGTATTTAATGGAGATCCCAAAAGCTTGAGATTTTTAAATGTCTTCTTTCCTTCATTCTTTTCTTTCTTTCATTCTTCTTTATTGCTATCTTGGTGAACTGACTTAGTCCATTTGTTTTTAGGTGCAGGTATTTGGACTGTATACTGGAGAAGAATTTCATGAGACTTTTGACTGCCCTATTAAAGTAAGTATTCAGTAAGCTTTCATTTGTCTAAGGGTTTTATCACCTATATCAATAAAGATTATAATACTGTGAGCACTACCACACCTGTGTTCATTTGGTCGGTCTATTCGGCAGTTCAGATACATTGACAGATATACTGAAGGACTGGGTGTCTGTTATGATCTCAGTCTATCTTCAGGAAGCTTCTAAGGCAGTGGGTGAGTGGATGAACACAAATACAGGGTATATAATTAAAAACTCGAAGAAGTTAAAGTAATATTAATGCGTTCAAGGCTGAGAGAAATAACTTTTAGCCATTTTGTTAAGGATGCCATTATGGAGGAAGTGATGTGGGACTGGCCTTTAATAAACAGCCTGGGGCAGATGCAGAAGCTGGCTTTCCTTGTGGTCAAGCAGCATAATGGAAATGGAGGCTAGGAACTTTAAATCATGTTCGAGAAGTGGCAAATAGTCTAGTTTTAGATGTATGTAAAGTACTGATTGGGCAAGAGGGCTATCGATTGAGAAGGGCTTTATCTGCAGGCTAAGTAATTTGGACTCTGGTAGATAAAGAGAAATTGTTGAATGTTTAAGAACAAAGAAATGTTCATTAAAAGTAAGCTTTAGTAAAATTATTATGGTGAGAATATACAGCATAGACTGGAGGCTAAGGTACCAGTGTGGGATAATAATCTTCTAAATTGTGTCTTTTAGGGGTTCATATGACTAAATGTAGTAAACTGTGCAATTAAGAGTTATAGGAGGAGGCCATTCCTTCCCTTTCATTGCTTATTCAAGCATTACTCATCAACTTGTAAATAAGAGTTAGGATCTGGTTAGTTTAGAAAGTCAGGACCACAGAAGGAGCGTGAGTTAGCAAGAACAGATTCTGGGGAGAATAGACAATTTAGAACACTAATGCAATAGTGTCTTAAAAGAACAGCGAGAATGCTTCTCAGAGGAAAGCATAGTGAGATTTCATTATCAAGTACTGTGGACATGTTGTCAGGAGAGACCAGTCCCTGGAGGGGCAGCGAAAAAGAGGAAGACACTTGTGTTAGTCCAGGTTGATCAGAGAAACAAATCCAGGGACACTCATATGAAGTGTAAGAGAACTTTTATATCAAAGAGTAGTTGTACATTAAGAAATCATCCCAGCCCAATCCAGATCAAGTCATTAAGTCCAATATTAGCCCATATGTCCGATAACACTCTTTAAATTCCCCTTCAGACTCACGCAACACATGCAATGAGCAGAATGCAGGAAGATCACAGGCCAATGGATGGAAAGTCTTGTGGATCTAGTGGCAGTGGAAACATCTTAGCGCTGGCAGGAGTTTCCATGTGGCTCCTCCAGCTCCAGGGCTCTGGCTCTATCAGTGTAGCTCCATGTGGCTTGTCAGCAGGAAGACAAAGCAGAGTGTGTCCCGCCGCCACGTAGGAGTTCCATAATCCTCAGGAGAAGGCCATGCCCACATGGAGGCCTCATTGGCTATGGCCTGATTGACACGCTAGATTCCACCCCTTTGCAAGTTGACAGGAGATTACATAACTACCACAACTCTTGATAAGATGTATTGACACAGTGGCTGCCACAGTGGGCTCAAACATAAGAAAGGTTGTGAGGACGGTGAAGGACCGGGCAGTGTCTCATTATGCTGTACAAAGGACCATGATGAGTCAGAACTGACCTAATGGCACCTAATAGCAGCACAATACTCTATGCAGGGTGTTGTCAGCAGAGCTCAATAAAAGGACTTGCGTGAATATTCAAAGTGGAGTGGAAAAAATGAATTTGGAAAGCCTTTCGAAGATAAACTTAACACACGTTAGAGGCACATTCAATGAGAATAAGGATGAAATTACCGAGAATTTTCCTCTTGCTTTAGTGACGACATGTAAGAAGGCCGTACGTTTTGGGAAGGAGTGGTTTCAATAAGACATTGTTAGCTTGGTCTGGACTCTTGAGTTTCCATGCCAGTTGTACATTTGGTGGAGTTGTTAGGGAGGCTATGGTGACTGGTCCTAAAGACACGAATTTGATAACTGTAATTGAATAGAAAGAAGTCATTTTTATAGATAGTATCCATTTTAAAGTTGTAGAGTAAGAAGAGAAGACTAATAGTGGCATTCTGAAACACTGATGTAAGTTCCAGGCAGGGGAGTGGAAACAGGAGAGGGGTCTGTGAAGAAGCATTTATACAGACAGAAGGAAGCTTGGAAGGGTGGTGCAGAGAAACCAAGGGAGAAAAGGTTTCCAGCCGGAGGGAGCGGGTAGAAGGGTCACCGGCAATGGAGAGGATGATTAAGGTAATGATTGACAAAGTCACTTTAGTTGATAATTATGAAGCTGCTAGTGGTCTTAGTAAGGACAGTTAAGGGTTCAACAGGTATTAATAAGGAGGGGGAAAGAATCAGTATCGATTATCTTTCTAGAAATGTTGGCAATAAAGAAGAAAGATCAACCAGTAGATAAAGAATGGGGCACTATCCTGGGGTGATTTTTGCAGACCATGTTTTGGTTGATGGAATTTCAGGAGAAAGGGACAAACAAAATGAAAAGAAAGGCGTAGTCAGTGAAGTGGCAATAGTGAATAAAATCTAAAAGCACAAGTATAGAGTCAACTCAGCACAGAGCCCTGCAACCTCGGCTTATGAAACAGGCATGCGGGAGGGGAGACCAAGCCCAGTTACTGTGAAACTGAGCATGAGGAGGGAGCAATGAACAAAAGTGACCCGGGGATAGCTTTAGTTTCAAAGAGAGGCATTGGGTTGATTGGCTCATGTGGTTAAGGAGCCTAGGTATGCCTGGAATAATGGTCGATATCTAGAGTTGTGCTTCCTAAGAGAACATGAGTTGAAGCGGAATGTGTATGAACTGTTGAATATAAAACTGACGAGCTGCTCTGTAAACCTTCACCTAGTTCATGAACCTGTAGAAACAGCAAGTAGAATCAGGGGTCCAGGAGGAGGGGAGTAAAATTGTGGGGGTCAGGGTGGGGGTAAAAAGGAGACAAGGTCAAGGAGTCCATGTACGAAAAGATTGTTTGGAAACTGATTGTGGTAACAATTGTATAATTCTATTTGACATGATCGAAATATGGAATGATATGATACGTTTTCAATCCCAACTAATATTTTTTTTAAGACAAGAAAGACTTAATCTGGGAGGTAAGAATGTTTGGATGAATGGGGGTAGGCGGTGGGGTTATATGCTGAACCCTGACAAAAGAGAGGATGGAAAGAGGGATGTATTCCATTGGAGGAGAAAAACATATTGAGTTAGTTAATAAGAACATAAAATGTATATAGTTGAAGATTTACTCATTTGTAATTTTAGTGTGCGTGTTTGTGCCTAGGAATACTCTCAAAAACAAACTGTACCTTGTCAATGATTTCAGGAAGGCTTGGGGATAACAAAAAAAGGTAGAATCTATATGTGCTTATAGAGCTAGAAGGTGAGCCCGAAGGCAGAGTTGCAATGAGCAGAGCAACTAGAGCTTCATTCTCTCTCCCCACCCACCCTGTTAATAACGTTATATAATCATCATAAACCACAGAGAGACTGGAGATGGTGAAACCTTGGGAGAAACAGGTAGCAGGGTAGAGGAGATTGGCTATGTGGAAAGTGGATGAGAACCAAGTTGTGGGTAAGAGAAGATCCTCCACTGCTGGCGTCTCTAACCTCTTGAGTTCCCTAGCTCTGATGTCTCCCAGTCTTAAGGTGTGATTACAGTGAATGTTTGGGGAGCATCTTGGCACACATCTTGGACAAAAGAGGTGGTGAGGTTCTTTCTCTGGGGTGCTCCTAGGAATTGTATTCCGTTACAGAGCACTGTGCCATGATGCTGCCACAGTTGACCTCTTTTGGGCAGTTAGGAAGGACAATTTATTTGGTCTAGTCTCTGTTTTCCTCAATTTGTTACAGAATAGTAACTAACTCTCATCAAGATTAATAAGCAGGGTAAATTTTAGATCCTTCTGTCTGTGATAACATAAAGGGTTCATCCTGTGTTTGAACGATGACTTTTAACCCAGGGTTGGGTCTGTTTTCTTTGTAGATCATTGCTGTGCACCCACACTTTGTGAGATCCAGTTGCAAGCAGTTTGTGACCGGAGGAAAGAAGGTAAATGCTTTATTTCTCCCATCACACGCAGCATTGGATGTTTGATTTTTACTTTGTCTTTAACATTTTCAAAGTTTGACCATTCATTTAAGAAAGAAACATAGAATGAGTATGTCTTGGGGGACAGGTGACTAAGAGCTTACTAAAATTCATCTGTAGTAGACAGGGAGAAAGATATTTTGCAAGTCTTTGACATATCGTACACACACACACACACACACACACACACACACACACACACACACACGGGCATTTAAAAAAATAACAAAAGGGTCATTCAACGAATGTTTTTTTTTTTCTCCCTTGATGTAGAAAACCTCTTACAGGACTTCATAAAGTTTTAGAACTATTATGGCTGCTCTTTAATCACGTGTACTGGCATATCTTATTATCTTAATGCTATTAAAGAATAAGAGAGTAAAACCCTTGGTACATTTACAGCTTCTGTTTTCTATAAATACATACAGTAAATTCTAAAAGATTTTTTCTGCTAATAAAGTAAGTCAATTTTCTCTTTCTCATATTAACCAGAGGCATCTTTAAAATCATTTTGTTACCAGAAAATTTTATCACTGTACTAGAATGCTGAATACTGTTTTGCATTTGATTTACAGCTCAGTGTAAAGGAGGTGGCCTCTCATTATTTCTACACAATTGCACAGTCACGGAATAGCTACTTTGGGGCTCAGTAATTGGATAGTTTTGATGTTTTAAGGTAGTTATCTGTAGTTTCCTCCATGGCCTGCTACTCCATATACTTAAGAGGTTAGGAGCATGTACTGGTTATTATCATACCCAGTTTTTCTCAAGATAGAGTGGTTATTGCATGGTCAAATGGCCTATCCTGTAGTCCAATTCCATTCAGGTCATGAAGCCAAGATTGTGCCAGCTCTGATTTCTGATGGAAAGCCAATTCCTTCTCTCCTACTTTATACCCCATTACTATCCATAGGCTTTCACCTCATGATTCTTTAAAAATGTTGTTGGGATTCATTAAAATGGAATGTAAATTGCATAGGAATTTAGCATTCTCTTTCTGCAACTTAGCAAAATGCCCACATACACTTAACCCTATAACGCCGAGCGCAACGTTTTTGTAACATTTAATTAAATGTGTGTGTGTGTGTGTGTGTGTATAAACTATGACAGTAAAGAATTAAAAAAACCTTTTTCCCTGAAATTAAAAATTCAGGCGTTATAGGGTTAAACTATTGATAAACCTCTATGCCCTAAATATTTCACTTGATGACCTGTAGTTTTGAGTTCCAGTTTCTATTTTCTGGACTTAAAAAGATTTCCCAGTTGCCCCCTATTTCTTTGAAGGTACTCAAATTTAAAAAAAAAAAGGTTTTAGGCATAATATACTGGTGATCTCCAAGCAGTATTATTGTTGTTGGTATTGATGTTAGGTACCACCAAGGTGGTTGTGATGCATAGCAACCCTTTGTACAACAGAGCAAAACATCACCTGTCCTGCACCTGCCTCCTCACCACCACCACATTTGAGTCCATTGTTACAGCCACTGTATCAATCCATCTGATTAACGATCTTCCTTTTTTTCACTACTCCTCTACTATCCCATGTCTGGTATCCTTCTCCAGGGACTAGTAATTCATGATAACATGCCCACAGTATGTGAGATGAAATCTTACCATCCTTGCCTCTAGGGAACATTCTAGCTGACTTTCCCAATACAGATGAGTTCTTATGGCAGTCCAGGGTTTTTTCAGTATTGTTAGCCCACACTATTTACATGCATCAATTCATCTTTGGTGTACCTTATTCATTGTCCAGCTTTCAGGTAAATATGAGCTATTGAAAAATACTCTGGCTTGTGTGAGCAGCATTTCAGTCTTCAAAGTGACCTCTTTGCTCTTTGACACTTTAAAGAGGTCTTTTGCTGCCCAGTGCAGTGAGCCCTTTGATTTCATGACTCCTACTTCTGTAGGCATTGACTATGGATCTAAGTAAAATAAAATCCTTGATAATTACAATCTTTTCATTGTCTATCATGATGTTGTTTATCGGTTCAGTTGTAATGAATTCTGTTTGCTCTGTGTTGAATTGTAATCTGCAGTACACCTCCAAGCAGTAGAACGCAAAATGTGAAGGCAGTATTTTCCCGTGTGGCTTTATATTATTTTGATTATCCACATGTTCATGAAGTCGAATCATTGCTTTTACACTGTAGGGGATACCTGTAAGCTTCACAAGTTTGCCACAGTAACTTTGCTATAAAAATGTCGTCAGCCTGTAAGACACATTGGCTTACTGTGTTAGTAACATGATCATCCTCCTTCTACATAGCATTTTGGTATGGTTTATAAACGTCGATAGAAAGGGCATAGTGAGTATTTTAGCTGTTCATGTCAGAGCTCATCAAGTAAATATATGAGGCCAGGAACTGAGTAGTCTAGCAATCCAAATGGTCGCAAGGTAATGTAGAGAGAACTTAGACTTTATACAAAGACAGTCTCATTGCCAATAGTATAAGTTTAGTTCATCAGATGATGAATAGGAGAGAGTTGAAGAGTCTGCTTTTCATTGACCATGGGATGGGTTGTTCTACAATCAGCCTTCCATGAGAGAGCGTTCCAATTTCTCCTTTTTTCCTATTTACTTTTGTAGAAATATATCTGTAGACATTGTTTTCCAAGAGTGCACAAAGAAGGTTAGTTGTGTTTATACAAATATTGTGTGTATACAAATCATTCTTACATGGAATGAGAATTAAAGAAAAGCAAAAACAACTGGTTAAGTTGTCTGGTGAAAATTTGATTGTAAACAAACAAACAGAAACCAACTGTGTGGACTAAAGTTTTTCTTTCTCATGAGATTAGCACCTAAACATCAGTGATGTCATTCCTAGCTCCATGATGTCAAGGAATAACCACGGGTCATCTCCTTCGCGGTTGTCCTGCTTGTTGAATTGTAGATGCCCTGGTGGCACAAATGGCTAAGCACTTGGTGACTAGCCGAAAGGTTGGTTGAACCCATCTAGAGGGGCTTCCAGTGGCAGGCCGTGAAACTGCTGTGGTTGCCTTGACTTGGATTGACTTGAGGGCAACTGACAACAGTTTAACATTTTGAGAAACTCTAAAACTATTTTTCTAAGTATCTTCACTTATTTACATTCTTATCAGCAACAGATGGGGCTTCAATTTCTTCATATTCTCAATAATATTGTTGCATTTTGTTTGAAGTGTATGATTGTGGTTTTGATTTGAACTCCCAGAATATTACTGAGTTGGACATTTTGTCTTGTGTTTATTAACCATTAGCACATCTTTTCTCTGAAAAATGCCTATTTAAATTATGAGCTGATTTTAAATTAGGCTATTTATTTTTTATTTTTGAGTTTTAAAAGTTCCTTATATCCTTTTTTTTAAAAATCATTTTATTTTGGACTTTTACAGCTCTCATAACGATGCACACATCCATTGTGTCAAGCATATTTATTTGTACATATGTTGCCATCATTATTTTCAAAACATTTTCTTTCTTCTTGAGCCCTTGGCATCAGCTCCTCTTTTTCCGCTCGCTCCCCAAACCTCCCACCCTTGTGAACCCTTGATAAATTATATATTATTATTATTATTTTCATATCTTATACTATCCTCTGTCTTCCTTCACCCATGTTTCTACTGTTTGTCCGCTTTATATAGTCTTGATACATGTCCTTTATTACATATAAGATTTGCAAATATTTCCACTCACTCTGTCTTCTCATTTTATCGATGCTATTCTGTTAAGCATGCCATTTCTTAATTTTGATGATGTCTCATTTATTATTTATCCATTTATTAATTGGTATTATATCTAAGAAATCATCATGTAATCCAGGGTCTTAACAATGTATGCCTATGTTTTCTTCTCACTTAAATTTAGATTTATTTTCCGCTTTGACTTGACTTTATGGTGTGAGGTAGGGTGCAGATGAAATCTTTTGAATGTAAGTGTACGGTTGACCTGGCACCATTTGTTTAAAGAATGGCCTTTCTCCGTGGAATTGCCTTGTTGCCTTTGTTAAAAAGAAAAATCAATTAACTAAATATGTTAGGGTTTATTTCTAGACACTCAATTCTATTGTATTGAAATAGATATGGATCCTTCCTTGGGTTTTTGTACCACAATTTTTTTGTGTAATTACTTATAGGATGACAAAAAAATTAACACTTAAAGCATTTTGATTTTGGATTCTTTTTCTTAAAATACAATTATAGTTTCTCCTGCGTATCTTAGATGCTTATGAAACATTGGGATGTAAAGATTTAGAGCTTTGTAACATACATTCAGAAG